TTTTCAAGCATTTTCTTTCTACTTGAGCCCTTAATATCAGCTCTTCATTTCCCCCCCTTCCTCTGCTCTCCCTCCCCCATGAACCCTTGATAAGTTATAGATTATTATTTTCATATCTTACATCATCCTCTGTCACCCTTCACCCACTCTTCTGTTATTTGTCCCTCTGGGAGGGGGCTATATGTTGATCCTTGTGAATGATTCCCTCATTCTGACCCCACCTTCCCCTGGGGTCATTGCTGGTCCTGAGGGGTTTATCTATCCTGGATTCTCTGTGTAGTGGGCTCTTATCTGTAGCAGTGTACATGCTCTGGTCTAGTCCAATTTGTAAGGTAAAATTGAGGTCGTGATAGTGAGGGGGAGGAAGCATTAAAGGACTAGAGGAAAGCTGTGGGTTTCATCAGTGCTATACTGCACCTCGACTGGCTTATCTCTTTCTTGTGACCCTTCTGTAAGGGGATATCCAATGGTCTACAGAAGGGATTAGGGTCTCCACTCCATGCCCACCCCCCTTCACATTGGTATGATTTTGTTCTGGGTCTTAGATGCCTGAAACTTGATCTCATCGACACCTCATGATCACACAGGCTGGTGTACTTCTTCCATGTGGGCTTTGTTGCTTCTCAGCTAGATGGCCGTTTGTTTATCTTTAAGCCTTTAAGACCCCAAACGCTATCTCTTTTGATAGCCGGGCACCATCAGCTTTCTTCACCACATTTGCTTATGCACCCATTTGGTCTTTAGCGATCTTGTTAGGAAAGTGAGCATCAAAGAATGTCGGATTATTAAAACAAAGTGTTCTTGTGTAGAGGGAGTACTTTAGTAGAGGCCCAAGGTCCATCTGCTACTTTAATTCTTAACATATAAGTAAAAAATCTATTTCCCCATTGTCACATATAAATATATTTACATATGTACATTCCTGTATTTAGACCTCTATAAATGTCCTTTGCCTCCTAGTTGTTTCCTCTATTCCTTTAACTTTCCTCTTGTCCCACCTCCTTAGTAGGCAGTTAGTTTTTTTCTTATTGTAAGCTTGCAAAGTATTGTAGATTTTAGTAATAATGCCTTTGTCTGAGGTGTCATTGCTAAAGATGCTTTCCCAGTCCGTGGACTCTCTTATTACTCTTGGTGAATTATGTCAATGTACACAGGTGATTTATCTTCAGTATATCCCACTTGTCAATTTTTGACTCCTCTGTATTTGTGTCCTTCCCTATTTCCGATAGCCTATGTATTCCCTGCACCAAGGTTCTCAGGTTTGTCCCAGTTCCCTCATTAATAGTTTGGGGTTTAACTTCAAGGACTGTGATCCATCTTGAGTTTATTCTTGTGCATGGGGTGAGGTATGGTCTTACTTCATTTTTTTGTAAGTAGATATCCATTTTTTTTTCCAGCAGAAAAGGGCATCTGCTTCCCATTTGATATTTTTTTGGGCCCTTATCAAAAATCAGTTTTCTTTATGCTGGTTTTTTTCCCCCTGGGTTTTCAGCAATGCAGAGAGCTTTTATTGAGGGGCAGGGCAATTTGCAAGTTTGGAATCACAGAGTAAATGGAATTAAGAATAAAGTGATCCAAGAAAGGGACAGTTCTGAGAGTTTATGGCATACATGGATATTTAGTAAAAACCAAGCAATTGATTGAAATTTAGATAATACTTACAACATTGATGAGATTATATATTTTTCTTTTGTGTGTGTCTTTGTATACTTTTCTAAAGTAGTTTTTTATAAGTTACAAAACCAAAAAACTAACTGCCAGCGAGTTAATTCTCCCATAGCAACCCTATAAAGGTTTTCACAGACTGTCCATCTGTATGAGAGCAGATGGCTTCCTCTTTTTCCATCAGATCAGCGGGTGGGGTTGAACATTCCATCTTTCAGTTAGCAGCCCAATGTCTAGCCCACGAGTATTTATTAAATTATTATCTTAAAAATTATTATATTTAATTATATTAAATTTAGATACATCCCGCCCCAATCACGAGATTCCTTTTGGCACGACTGTATGGAAGGCATTTCCAAGTTTAGAGACTTATCTTGAGTAAGCATTTCTTCTGAGAACTGTTTTGGACCTGGTTTTTCTGAGCAGAATGTATTCCTCAGCAAGCAAGATCACACTGGTTTTTTAAATTACTTATTCACCAATTTTTTTTCAAGATTCAGTTATGGTTATGACAGGCTGCATTCTCATTACAGAAGTAAAATTTGATTCAAAACCACTGTTAGCCTCAGACGTGAGCATAGCCACCATGTCATGTTGGAAGTCCTAATTTGGAATTCTCTTACTCGCGAAAAAAGGGTTCACAGAGTTGGCAAATTTTTGGAGGAATTGTAATGGGGACAGAGAGAATGGGCAGTAGGGGGTCTTAGGTCCTGGGAAGGTTCTATTTGGTTTTTAGGAAGGCTGAGTCTTCAGCACGTCTTTGTTTGCTGCTGGCAATGAAAGAGTTAGCACAAAGTCGGAGGAGTTAGGTCTGTGCAGAGGAAGTGGGTTTGTCCCATTCATTCTCTTTTCGCTGACCTACAAGTCTTTGCTTGCCAGGCACAACCGCTCAACAACGAAACTACGGAAGAATGACTCCCAGGGCACTAGGTGAAGCCCACGGTTTGCAGTCGGTTCTGGGAACTACAATTCCCAGCAGGCATTGCGCAGGATGGCCACCACGCAGGCGCAAAGCCTCAGGCACGGCCCTCCAACGCTACGCTCCCCCGCAGCCCTGGACCCACTTCCGGCTGGAACCACCTAAACGCTGGGGACGGTTTCCTCTTAAAAGAGCAACTGCGGCCGAGTGCGCGAGGTGGGCCCCCTGTTCTCCATTCACTCTGGGCCTGTGCACGAGGCCACTGAGGGCGCAGCCGCAGTCGGGATGAGGTCGGGGGAGGGGTGGGGGCGGCGCACAGGTAACATTGGAGTGGAGGTGGCAGCGCCGCGGAGATTCCAGTCCACCTGGGACCTGCCTTGGGGAATTTGGCATGGCTTGGTCCTTTAGGAGCATTAAGCGGAGTGACCAGAGGTGAGGGGTGGGGTGGGGTAGCTCTTTCCAGATCCCTACCTTCTCCACCCCAATTGGCCCAACTTTGGAAGCGAGCCTGTGCGCCCTTGCACCCCAGGACACGAATCCTTCCCCTGCCTCTTGTGGTTTACATAAACCAGCAAATGGATTCTCTCCAGAAGGAAGGTCTTGAACACCACCCCCATCCCCCGACCCCGTTAACCTTGCACTCACCCATTGCCCACAGTGAAAGACGCAAATCCCTTTCCCTTAGCTACTGTTTCTACAGTTCAGGAGGCTCAGGCCTCAGGACTTTGTTGTAGCTTTGACTTTACCTGGCACCTGGCAGCCCACCACACCCATTCCAAAGTACTGCACTTCCACAACTGCAGCTACTGCTATTTAAACATTTTAGCCCTTTCCCATTTCACTGTTTTGGAAACTGAGGCCTGCAAAGGCAGGGTGGAGCTTAGGTGTCCGCCCCCCCTCGGACGGGTTACCCCAGATAGCCATATTTTCCACCCTCCCTCCAGGCCCTGCAACATGGCTTCTTCTGCAGCGGACTTGTCTCGCAGAAGGCGGGAGAAGCGGCGACAGCTGGACGCCCGCCGAAGCAAGTGTCGCATACGCCTGGGTGGCCACATGGAGCAGTGGTGCCTCCTGAAGGAGCGGCTGGGCTTCTCCTTGCACTCGCAGCTCGCCAAGTTCCTGCTGGACCGGTTAGGGGCTGGGGGAAGGAGAAAGCCCCCTGGGCCGGCAACCAAGGCCAAGTTAGGTCCAGCTGCTCCTCAGGCCTGAAGATGTTTCCCTACTGCAGGAGGGCCAGTGTGTTAAGGACTTCCCGGGTTCCTGGACACCCCCTGAGGTCTATTTCCTGTGGTCTCCAGAAAATAGAGGCCCTCAGGGCTGACCCCTTAAGTGTGTGAGTGCCTGTGGTTGAGGGCGTTTGGCCAATTGAGCCCCCACCTGACCTGTCTCTTCTCCTGCTGGCAGGTACATTTCTTCAGGCTGCGTACTCTGTGCAGGTAGGCAAGGGACGGCTGGGGGATGGGGTAGGGCAAGAAGGAAGAAAGGTCGTTTGTGTGGAGGTAGAGGCTGGTTACAGCTTAGGAGCCTGTGAGGAAGAGAAGCAATGGAGAGTAGTGTGACCCAGTTACCCCTTCCGCTAGGTGGGTGGGTCAGTGGAAGTTGAAGATGAGCTAGGAGGGTGGGCAGGTGCAGAGCCCAGGAGAAGATGGTGTGCTTCATGTGGGGAAAGAAGCAATATCTCAGGAACTTTGTGTCTTCTAGGTGCTAAGGAACAATAAACTGGTAGAAGGGGGATGGGGGTGCTAGGGTTGCTCAGGGAGCTAGAGGGACCAGAGGACTGGGTCGGAAGAGTGTCCCCAGTGAGTGAAGGGACTCTCCCAGCTGGGCCTGACTGCCTGCCCCATCCCTCCAGGCCCTGAGCCCTCATCCCCCAAAGGCCTGCAGTACCTTGTGCTCCTGTGTCATGCTCACAGCCGAGAGTGCAGTCTGGTGCCTGGGCTGCGAGGGCCTGGAGGCCATGGTGGGGGACTCGTGTGGGAGTGCTCCGCAGGCCACACCTTCTCCTGGGACCCTTCTTTGGGCTCTGAACCTCCAGAGGCATCCAGCCCAGTCCCTTCTCGACGCTCTACCCTGAGAAGCTGGTGCTCAGAGGCCAGGCGTGAGCAAGACGCAGCAGGTAGGCTGGAGGAAAGAAGGGTTGTAAAGGAAATGAAAAAAAGATTTCCCATCTTCTGCGGCTACAACCCCATTGCTAAGACTTACCTTCCTTTTAAACATTTTTTTTTAAATTTTGAATTAAAATTAGGTCGGGACTTAATTTTAAAATTGTGCTGATAAGGAATAGATCCCCAAATGTATGGCAAGGTATTAAGTAATCATACTCAGAATAGGATGCATGAAATGATAACCATTTGTGGAAAATAAAAAGGTGAAAATAATATGTGTCTGTATACACTTGTGACCAAATAAAATCACTCTGGAAGGACATTTAAGAAAGCAGGCTGCCTGTGGGGTGAATTCTGTGGTTGGGGAGCAGTGTTGGAAAGAAGATCTTTCAAAAAAATTTTTTTGCGTGTGGCAATATATGTACAGGGCAAAACATACACCCATTCAACAATTTCTACATGTTGTGATGTTTGTTACATTTTTCACATTGCATTATCATCATTCTTGCTCTTTCCAAATTATATCATCACCATCAAATTAGACTCGCTGGCTTCTAAACTTCTTACTTAGATTTTACATTACTGTTGCAATTTGGTGTCGGAGAGATAATTTTTTAAAGGAGTGCCAAGATAAAAGCAGGAACACTGTTCAAGGTTTAAAGATGATCTCAAGGCACTAATTATCTTAGGGCAATAGAACTGGAAAGCCGTCCGGCTTCACTGGGCCGAGTAAGTGTGGATTCCATAGGAATTTTTAATGCTTACATAGCCCCACTTTTGATTAGGAAATCTCTATTGAGTCCTTGATCAAAACGTATGGGAATGGTAAGCAGGCACCAACCATATCTTCCGGTTTCTTGGCACAGGACGCAGTCGTTCCTGGACATGGTTGGGTTGGCAGTTCAGTTCCTTCTCAGATTCATAGATCTAGAAAGGAGACTTCATGGTGTACCTTTTAATACTTTCACATTTTAGTTGGGTGAATAGATTGTAAAATAAAATTCCCATTCCTCCTCAGGTAGTCTCTGCCCCCTCAAGCTCTTTCTCCTTCTTAAGAGTCCCCCATTACTTAGAACTCTCTACCTGCCCTCATTCCTTGAGCCCAGAATTCCTTCACCTTTGACCCTGCCTGTGCCAACAGGTTTGGAATCAGAGGATGGTGAGAGGACTCAGGAGGCCAGGTTGCCCAGGTGAGGTTCAGAGGAGGGCAGGATAGACTTGGGTGGACAAAGGAAGTGAGGGAGCAGGACCTCAGCTTTGACTCCTTGGCCTGCAGCAGGGTAGGACCACTACCCGAGACTTCCCTGCCCCCAGGAGAGTACCAGAGAGAGGAGGAGGAGGAGGAGGAGGACGATGATGAAGAGGAGATGCTCAGCGATGCCAGCCCATGGACCTACAGCTCCTCCCCAGATGAGCAAGTGGGGGCTGAGGAGGGATACTGAAGAGAACGGGAGGAGGGAGGCGGAAGCTGTGTGAAGAAACCAGAGCTTTGCACACATGAAGGATGGGTGGGGTGAAGGGAGTTGGGAGGCAAAGTGAGCTTTGTGGGGGTGGGGAAGACTGGAGGCTTTGACCTGCATAGAATAGGGTAAAATCTAGGGGTTAAAAGTAAGTGTGAACATACAGGTTGGGGCTAGTAACAGAGTTGTTGTGAAGTAGGGATTTAGAGACCACCATTGAAGAGAGGTTTGGAGGTTTGGTTAAATAATGCCCTTTTCTTTGTTCTTCTTTTAGCAGTGAGCCTGATGTCCCCAGATCCCCTGGACCACCTCCTGCCTCTCTCAAGCACACCCTTAAAGAGGAAGAACTGCCACCCGCCCCTTCAGATCTCCCCACTGCTCTAGCTGCACCAGTATCTTCAGTGTCCTCATTGGGCTCCGGACTTCCTTCGACTACAGAAATAAGGATACAGACAGAGCTTAGTGGGACCCCTCCGCCAGTTCAGGAGACTGAGCCCCTAGCCAGGTAACATTTTGACTAAGATAGGACAGGGGAGTCCTGGGACATAGGCCTTCTTCGAGCCCCTCTGTCGCCCTCTTTATTGCCCATAGCCCCAAGAGTCAGGCCGAGTCAGTACCAGCCCCAGCCTGGGATGATGACACTGCCCAGATTGGCCCCAAGAGAATAAGGTAGGATTGGAAAAGAGGAGATTCTGAAAAGAGGAAAGAGGCAGAGGAGAGCAGATAAGACTTCCTATTCCTCCCTGTTCTCTTCCCACAGGAAAGCTGCCAAAAGAGAGCTTCTGCCTTGTGACTTCCCTGGCTGTGGAAAGATCTTCTCTAACCGGCAGTATTTGAATGTGAGGGCCACAGGCTGGGTTGTGTGTGTCCACTGGATGTGGGGGAGAAAAGATAGATGCTGAAAGAGAAACTCGGGAAGTGGAGTTGACTATCTAGAGGGAGGTAGAGCCAGAAAGAAAAGAAATGAGGTAGATCTCCAAAACTTTTCTGAATTTGATAATCAAGTGGTTATTTTAAACAAACTTATGGGGTGGGGGGAGAGACACCAAGCTACAATTGCACAGAGCCACTGCCCACTACTGCTTATGACCTATAATTTCAGAGACTTATATGCAGGTCGGACAGCAGCATGTATCAAGCTCTTATGGTGCACTAGGGATCACTCTAACCACTTAACATGCATCCCTTTGGAGTATCTACATCAAAGAGTTTTCTTGGCTATCTTTTTAAAAATTTTTTTCATTATTTCTTTTTTGGGGGGGCCCATACAACTCTTATCACAATCCATGCATCCATCCATTGTGTCAAGCACATTTGTACATTTGTTGCCATCATCATTCTCAAAACATTTGCTTTCTACTCAGCTCCTCATTTTTCCCCTCCCTCCCCGCTGCCCCCTTCTTCACGAACCCTTGATAATTTATAAATTATTATTCTGTTGTCATATCTTACACTGTCTGACATCTCCCTTCACCCACTTTTCTAATCTTTTACAGAAACAGGTCACCAGGCCTTTTTTCCAAGTTGGTACGGGGTGGGTTCGAACCACCAACCTTGAAGCTTAGTAGTTGAGCACAAAAAGAGCCCCCGGTAGCACAGTGGTTATGCATAAGGCTGCGATCTGCAAGGTCAGCAATTTGAAACCACCAGCCGCTCTGTTGTACTCCTGTAAATAGTTACAGTCTTGGAAACCACAAGGGGCAGTTCTACCCTGTTGCTATGAGTTGGTATTGGGTCCATAACAATGAGAGAGCGAGAGAGATTGAGCACAAAACCATTAGTGTCACCCAGGGACCTCTTTATGAGTAGGTACTGTTACAATTCCTGAATTACAGGTGAGGAAACTAAGGCACATGACAAAGTAAAGCGCTCTGCCCATGGCTCCTCAGCTAGTCTCTGGGATACAGGGATTTGGAGTGTGACAACCTGACCCCAGAGCATCGCCTTCAGGCAGCTTTACCATCTTTGCCAACTCGATGGTCATAGAGTGGGAAGGACTGGGAGATGATATTGTTCAAAACTTCACTGCATGAGAGGTCTGAGGACCAAGCTCCATATTTTACCAGAGCCCTTGACAGGGTAGGTCTTGAGGTTAGATGTAGGTGGCACCCCAGGGGTAGGAATGACAAGGTGTGTGTGGATGGGAGGTAAGGAAATGCTATATAGGGAGATCTAGAGAGAGGGGAATCATGGGAAAGTTGGGGAGGGAGGTGACCGTGTGTGTTCCTGACTGTCAGTGAAGCTCAAGACAGATCAAAGCAGTAAGCTGGGGTAGATCAAACATTTCCTGATCCTGTTAAGGACAGAAGCAGACCCCATTGGTTTAATTGTGTAAAAATATATAATGGAGAAGAAAGCTTATGCTATTTAGTGAACCAAGGTGGGAAAATAGATCAGTTAAACATATAAACACTTATTGGGCAGTTATGGTTGAGGAACCTTTAAAAGTGTACTTGGTTGAATGTGTGTATTGTATATGTCTCTAAAGCAGATTTGGGGGGGGGGGCGGAGATCCTTTAACAATATGCTTGTCGTGAGCTTGAAATTAGAACTAGGGCATCTTGGAGATATTTTTGTTCCCGAGGACTGATACTGAAGACAATAATCATGTGAACAGTAATATGCAGTGCTCTCCTTTCTTACCTTGGCAGGTAGCAAACGCATGCCTCGGTAGGCCAGGAGCATCACTTGGAGCAGTACACTGCACAGGGAGGTAGACCTTGTAAGATTAGGGTGTAGTAGGGCAGTGAGATCATGGACGTTGAGAGCAGAAAGGGGCGAAAGGCCAGTGGGACTAGGGTGCTCATGGTAAAGATGAGGACTGGGCCAGGAAGGCATGAACTGCCTGTGGCAGGGAGACCTGTAGGGCACAGGTAGTACAGGAGAGGAGCGGGCTGAGGAGCCCACCTGCTGGTAAGCTCTGGGTTTCAGCCCTGGGGGATGCAGCTCTCCTTTTCCCTCTTCTCCCTTGCCACCTGCTTCCTTCTCCAGCACCACAAGAAGTACCAGCATATCCACCAGAAGTCCTTCTCCTGCCCAGAGCCAGCCTGCGGGAAGTCTTTCAACTTTAAGAAACACCTGAAGGAACACGTGAAGTTGCACAGTGGTAAGGGGTCAAACTGCCACCTGGCGGTATCCTCTGTGGGCTCCTAGACGCGTTCATTTATTCAGCCTTCACTCGCTGTGGGGTGAGCACCTGCTTCAGACTGTCTAGGTGCTGGGACTGTTAACAAACAGTTCTTAACTTTCCTGAGTTGTCCTTCGTGGTGGTCACGTGCCGTGGAGAAACATAAAAGCAGGGTAAGGCAGTAGGATGTGCTCATGTTGACAGGGAAGGTTGAGCAAAGACCTAAATGAAATGAGGACTTGAAACCCATCCAGGTCTGCAGGAAGAGCTGGGGAAAGATCCTTAGGTGGGATCTGGGTGGTGTGTTTGGGAAGTAGGGAGGAGGCCCCTGGAGTTAGGATGGATGACTGAGGTCAGATGGGTGATGGGGGCCTCCGAGATCACTGTGGGGATGGCTTGGCTTCTCCTCTGAGCGAGGTGGGCACTATCGGCAGGGCTTCCGCAATAGAGGAAACTGACCAACTTTTATTTTTTTAAGATATTTATTAATTAACTTTTCCTGTTTATTGTGAATTTGGACGAAGCTCTACCAAACAGATCCATTTTCTACTCAACAGTGCACACATGTTTCATCTCAGTAACTGCAATTCCCACAAAGAAAAATTCCTTATCCCACTTTCTTTTATTTCCCTTCCTTCGTCTTTCCTAACCCTTCTGAACTCTGCCCTTGGGCAGATACTGCCTTTTACAATCTCAAGTGGTGGATTATTATTCTACCTCCTTACTGTTACTATTTCTTTACCGGCCTATCATATGACTGATCATTTAGCCATGCAAATGAGTGCAGTTCCTGACCTGCAGGTTGATTAAGGGGCACAGTTTCAGTGGTTCCACCATCTCTATCTGACCAGTAAGGCTCTGACCGACTTTAACAAGGGGCACTATGAAATTTAAAAGGGGCCATGACTGTGGCAGCTGTGTGGAGACTAGACTGCAGGGTGGCCAAGGGCAGCCAAGGTAACGACAGAAATATCCCTGTGCAAGATGAGCTCAGACTCAGTAGCAGTCCAGCTGGTAAGAAGAAATTGGAAGCTTCCTGGCATGTGAAAGTGTTGGCTGCTGCCAGATTGGATGGATTGGCTATGGATATGACGGGAAGGAGGATCAGGCTTGACTCAGAGGATTGCGGTCTAAGCTATTAAGCAGATGAAATTGACCAGTAAAAGGAGAGAGAAATAGGCTTGGGGAGAAGGACCTTTGATTTGGGACATGCTAGTTAGATCGCCAAAGAGAGATGCCTGGTGGGTAATGAGTATGTGAATGGAGTTCTGAAGAGCTATCAGGCACAAACAAGCCATATATGACAGATGATCATTGAAGCTGTGGAACCCACCTAGGGAACGAGGACAACTAGAGAAGAGATACGAATGCAGCCACCCAACAGTGGGTAGGAAGGGCAACCACAGAGATTACACATGAGAGAGAGGAGTGTGGGGACTAATAAAACGTTCAAAGAAGGAGAGAGGTGTGAACTGTATCTGTGCTATTGGATTAAGAAGATGAGACCAGTCCACGGACGGGGCAATGTGGAAGCTATCCTTTACTTCGACAAGATGAAAGCTGGGAGGGAACAGGGTCCAGCTGGGCTGGAAGTGAAGAACTAGAGATGGCGAGTATGAGTACAATTTGGAGTTTTCTTTTGAAGATGAACAAACATGGGGTCTCAGCTGGAGGACGGTGAGACCCGCCCACCGAGATGGGGATGGCCCTATAGAGAGGCACAGCTTGCTGAAGTACCACGTGGTCTTCTCCTTGAGTTGATGAGAAGGGCTGGCTGTCAGGGGACAGTGGAGGATGCCCTTAGAAGAATTGGGTGTTCGTGTAAGAGGATACACATATAATTGTCAGGTGGATTTGATGATGGGGAGATGTGGGTTTTCTTTCCTGGTGTCTTATTTTCTTGATCAAAAAAATAATAATACTAAGATCACCTAAGTGAAGATGGTGGGATGGGTGTACTGGAGACTTGTGGAGGGCGGGCATATAGACTCTGGAGTGTGGGAAAGTAAATTGACGGGGGAAATGTGGACTCTTGGAGACTTGCGTTTGTAAATCTAGGGGCTAGTGGCAGAGTTGTGGGACATGCGCCCACGCCCTTTACACACGTACAGGGCAGACCAAGGGTTGTGCTTATTCCAAGTTGGGGTTTAACCAAGCCGATACAACTGAGGTCGGAGGAAATGTTGCAGGTGAAAGAACGGCCACAGAGATGGACCCTGTAAACGGAACAGGAAGAGAAGGGTTTGGGGGATAGGAAGGTGCTGAAGGACAGCGGGGACATGTTGGGGCCCATGGACTAGCAGCCTGGTGATTACAAGATTATCGTAGTGGGACAAAGTGGGAGGCCCTTGCTGGAACCGGGATGCATCAGGTTGCAATGTCCAAGCTGGTACGATGGTGCACTGCACCGTCCCTATGACCTGGACGCAGTGGCTGTTGCTGGGTAGGGTGTGGGTTCATTAGTGGTCAGGGAACACAGCGGTGGGTGTATAAATAACACACGGGAATCGGAGCAGAGGGGAGGGCCTAAAGCCAGAACTGTGGCGTGATTAAGATGAAGGTGAAAGGCTGTGGCAGAGGATGAGCACCCGTGTGGCCTGATGGCCCTCATCAGGGATGAGGATCTACAGGGAGGTCTAAGGGGCTGTGAACAGCATGGTGTGACCTCTGCCACATGCCAGAGGCTTGTGAGGTGTGGGAGACACTTGAGAGCTGAAGCAGCAGTGACCTTGGTTAATGAGCAGGAGCGGTTCGAACCAGCACAGAAGTGCACATTCCTGGACAAGATAAGGGAGAGGGTATTTGGCTGATGATGACAGGCGTGAGGCACTCTGGGGCTGGAGTGATGTGGGAAACAGGGAGAGAAGAAATATGAAGGCCTGAATGGGAAGAAAATTCTAAGTGCCAGACAAACCTTCAGGGCTTGGATTTCATCGTAATTCCCATCTCTGTCTCCAGGCTTCCTCCTGGTGCCTTCTGCCCACCTAAGGATCCAGCTTATCTATCAGTTGGTAAAGATCTAGCTTAGAGACGCAGAGGCAAGGTAGTGTACATCTGATGAGAGTTCTGTGGTGTGGGTGATGCTTAGGGTAATAATGGTAACCAAGTCAGTTAGACAGTGCCCTGCATTCGATTGTCATGACTGGTGAAGTGAAAGGAGGTTCAGAAAATTGCCCAAGGACAACAAATAATTAGAACTCAGGCCTCCTGACCCCAACACTGTTGCTTTCCTATGGGGACAGTGGGTGGGTGATTATAGGAGGGGCTGCATCCTGGAGACAGATGCTGAGGGGAATCCCTGTGTGCCTGCAGACACCCGGGACTACATCTGTGAGTTCTGTGCTCGGTCGTTCCGCACCAGCAGCAACCTTGTCATCCACCGACGGATCCACACTGGGGAGAAGCCCCTGCAGTGAGTGCTGGACAGTGGGCCTGGGGGTGGCAGGGAGACAGGCAGGGCACCCGGGCCCTGGGAGAGCAGGAACTATTGAGGAAGTCAAAAGTGGCTGAGGCCCCTTCCTTCCCTGTCTGCCCTTGGTTCCAGGTGTGAAATCTGTGGGTTCACCTGCCGCCAGAAGGCCTCCCTGAACTGGCATCGGCGCAAGCATGCAGAGACAGCGGCTGCCCTGCTCTTCCCCTGTGAGTTCTGTGGCAAACGGTTTGAAAAGCCGGACAGTGTTGCAGCCCACTGCAGCAAAAGCCACCCAGCCCCACTCCCGGGCCCACAGGAGTCACCCAGTCCTTTGGAGCCCTGTCCCAGTATCTGTGTCCCTGGGGCCCTTAGGTCCACTGAGGCACCAGGAGCCATGCCACTAGGGGCCAGTTCTTCCCATTCTCCTCAGGATCCATCTAACCGTCCAACCTCAGGAATGAGCTCTTCCATGTAGGCTTTGGGAAGCCAGACCTCAGGCCCTAGAAAGGAGGGAGCACGGCGAGTGGTTCAGAAAAGCACCGATACCTGAGGTCCCAGGGACTAGGGCTAGCTCAGGGAGAAGTACTCCTGAGGAAGTGGGGGAGCCGGACTACTTAATCTCTCTCCAGGACAGAATAAAGAATATTTTCCATGAGCGTGTGTGGACAGAGTAAATGTTTTGGCCCTGAGGCACAGGAATCCTAATTCCTCTGGAAGCAGGTTTGGTAGACTGCTGGAATGGCGTGTAGGTGTGTGGCCCTGGTCCCCTCCCTGCAGGTCTCCTGCCACCACTCACTCTGGAGGCTTCAGCTTGCTTTAGGGACTGTCTGGCACTTTGTAGTCCTTTCCACCTAAGTGCCAACCTCACTCTTGCCAGGGAAGTAGGGCGACTGACAGTCTAGTGAATTGTCTTTCCAGGGTGGAACAGGAAGAGAGGCATGCCACTCTGGCTACATTAGTAGTCGCCACTGAGAACACTCATGTAAACCTTGAAGATGCTTACCTTCCAGTGCAGAAATTAAGGGTCTCGGGTGTAAGGCGATCACTGAGCTTTCCTGGGAAGGGAGAAGAAGCCTTGGAATTGCCAAATGAGCTGGCTTTTAAACCACTGCACAATCTGCAAAGACCTTCAGCCTCAGGTTTCACAAAAGAAGCTCTTGGCACCAGGAACCCAAACAAATAACTCTTTATTTCACTAGCCAAAAAGTCACTAGCCAATTCAGGGGATTTTTGCATCCTGCCCTCCCCACATTGTGGCACCTGTATTACCGGGAACAGAAACCCTGGCTCAAAGCTTGGTGTGGAACTAATAATCAGATGCTGTACTTGGTAATGTCTAGCCTGTGGACTCATTGCTTTGGGCCCAGGGCCATTTTCCCAAACCTGGCTGGAGAACATTATTAGGAGAGAGTCATCTCTGTTTAGACACCATAAGGCCTGGCCCAGGGGATGGTGGGGGGCCATTGGGAGGGAAGGGCCCCTGCCCACATTTGCACGGGTGGGCCACCTCTGCCAGGCTGGGCACTTCTGGTTGGGATGATCCTCACTAAAGTGAGCATACCCGGTCTTCAGATTCCCACCATAACACCCCACCTGACTCAGAAACGGAGGGGGAAGCCGCACAGTCATGTGGACCAAGAGGCAAGCTAAGCTCCTGGTGGTGGGATCTGATTCTGTGCTCATTAACCAGACAGCAGCCAGAGAACTCGGGGAAAGAGAGGTCATGGAGATGGAGCGATGAAGGCTGCAATAAGGAGATGGGGCTAGGGAAAACGGGACGGACACATTGAAGCACAGCAATGAATGACCAGTCCTGGGCCCTCTCACACAAGGTTTTCCCGGACTTCCTGCACCTACACCTCAGAGGGAAAGAAGCCGGGCAAGGAAGAGTCAAAAAGGCAAAGAACCCCCCGGGGAAAAGCCAGGTGAAACGCAACCAGAGAACGGAAGGAAAGGTAGCGAGCCCTGTTCAGCCCCCGCCCAATCCTTGTAGGGATTTGTCCAGCTCTCCCTCCCCAACCTTGGACAGAAACTTCTGAGCTGGTGTCCCCTAACTGGGACGAAGGAAGCCTGCATTTTACTGTCCAACCTGCCCGGTGAGAACGAGGGGGGTACTGGTGGAGCTGAACTCCACGGCGGCCTTGGTGGCAGCAGCTGCGCGGGCGCGTGTGTGGGCCCGCTGGTGCTGTGACAGCGAGCGGCTGTGGCTGAAGCACTTGCCGCACTCGGCACACTGGGCAGGCCGTTCGCCCAGGTGTGTCTTGCGGTGCAGCGCCAGTTTGGAGCCAACGCTGAAGGCCTTGCCGCACTCGGGGCATTTGTGGGGCTTGTAGCCGGCATGGTTGCGCCGGTGCACATTGAGGTTGGACACGCACGTGAAACACTTGCCACACTGCTCGCAGTGGTAGGGCTTCTCGCCCGTGTGCGTGCGGCGGTGCTTGGTGAGGTCTGAGCGGTCACTGAAGCAACGGCCGCACTCGGGACACGGGAAAGGCCTCTCGCCCGTGTGGATGCGCTGATGGACCACCAGGTCAGAGCGCTGCCCGAAGCCCTTGCCACACGTGGCACACGCGTGCGGCCGCTCACCCTGGTGGCTACGGCGGTGGCGGAGCAGCGTGGAACTCTCACTGAAACAGCGCCCACAGTCGCTACAAGCGTATGGCTTCTCGCCCGTGTGTGTCCGCTGATGGCGCACCAACGTGGCACTCTCCAGGAAACCCTTGCCGCACTCCGGGCATTTGAAGGGCTTCTCGCCCGAGTGCGTTTGCAGGTGTCGAGTCAGCGTCGAGTTCTTGCCGAAGCTCTTGCCACACACGTGACAGCTCCGAGCGCGGGGCTGCTGGCTCTCGGGCTCCCCGGGACTCGGGGCTGCGTGGACGCGCGCGTGGCTCCGCAGGCCCGCGCCGCTGTGGAAGGCTTGCGGGCACTGTGTGCAGGCGTGTGGCTGGCCGATGGGCACCACAGGTGCCTCTAGTGAGTGTGCCCGTACCTGGTGGAAGCGCAGAGCGCTCTGGCGAAAGGTGCGGGCGCACAGAGGGCACCTACGCGGCTGCTCGGGCGGGTGCCAGCGACGCCGGTGCAACAGCAGCGCCAGGAGATGTGGGAAGCGGCGGCCACAGGCCCGGCAGGGGCAGGCGCGCGTCCGCCGTCTGTGGGTGCCTTGGTGTAGATCAAGACGGCCGCTATGGCTGAAGCTTTGGCCACACTCGCTGCAGATGTAAAGCGTCTCTCCAGCGTGAGCCCGCCTGTGTGCCCGGAGGTCTGCAGCCTGGGCACAACGCTCCCCGCACTCCAGGCAACGGAAGCGACTGTTGCCTCCATGGGCACGCTCGTGCCGCCTGAGCACACAGCTATAGCGGAAACTCTTGTCACACTCGCTGCACGTGTATGGCCTCCCGGCTACGACCCCTGATGCTGCAAACATGGTGCAGACTTGATGCCCACGGGGTGCAGTCTCGGGACTGGGCTGGCAGAGAAACTTGCCGTTCAAGCTCCAAGGCTTGCCGCCTCAGCTCCTGGAAATTGTCAGTGTTACAGCCCAGAAAGGGGGTGATCACAGAGGGACCTGGGGGAGGTCTCAAAAGCGGGTCTTAGATTCCTGGGCTCCTTCATCCATGGGCAGGCACTTTGGTGGTTTCAGCGGCAGGAAGCTGCCAGGTTGCTCCTGCCCTTGAGCCCTGCGGGGAGAAGATCACCATAGACTCCAGGAACAGCAACACACCGGGGAGGGGGACAATCTGCTAGTGCTAGGTCCATTTCTTCCAGTTTCCATTTCCAAGGAGAGCCATGAGAGGTTTCAGAAACACGGAGAGGGGTAGGGGGTGGCTGTTCTTGCATCACCCCGAAGGGCAAAAGTAGTGGTCTAGGTTGTCCTAGAGACCAGTCTAAGTCCAGCTGCTGGAGCCATTGACACTGCTGGGAGGATTGCTCAGTCTGTTTTCTGTCCTTAGACCCGAGATCCTGGCCTGGGGTACATTAGGAAATGAGCAGGTAGAAATAGTGTTATAGGAAAGCCCTTCTGTTGGGACCACACCTACACCTTCCTACAAGACCCAGTTATCCTGAGTTATTCTCAGGCCCTGGCTGAAGGGCAAGGAGGGCAGTGAGATGAAGTATACACAGGCCAGGCAGCAGTCTGGGCAAAAGGTTCAGACCCTGTCGCTACTAGAAGGGGTATTGGAAGGGGTTAGGGGCTGGCAAGGGAGAATAAGATGAAGCCCCCAAACATTGCTCCTTGGCTTTAGAGAGTAACCTGTAATTGCCCCTACACCAGGACCTCGTCTCAAAGTTCCTTAGTTCAGCCTTGAGAAAGCAGCCCAGAAGAAGGGGAACTGGGTGAGAAGAGAGCATGGATAATTCACAAAGAATACTATCAAAAGGTGATTTTAAGAAAAAACTTTTCAATTTTTAGGAAAAGCAGCATTCACTACGAATTCTCAGGGTATCCAAGTTGTTTGCTGAACATAATTCACTTTCTGCTATCCCAGCTCCAAGGATCTGGGAACTGGGCTAGGAGAAAAACTCCTTTTGGGGACCAACTGTGTTCTGTCCTGTTGATTCATATATTTACACAAGTCGCTTTGGCAAGTTGTTCCAGGCAGCTGTCTGGAAGCAGGGTCAGCCTTAGAGCCCACTGGACAGAACTTCCTATGCACTCAAATAAGAGCAGAAATATGGCCTTTCTCGTCCTGGTGGTTTCCCTCCAGGCACCACAGGTCTGTCCCAGTACAATCAATGGGGTAATGGAGATTAGGGACAGGGGTCACCCAACAGATCGGGGAGATGAAACAAACATAAAATGGCCAGTAGTCTTTCTTCCTTTCTCATTAGCAGATGGAAATCCATGATGCAGACTTAGAGCTTTGGGTGAAACACCCCAAAGACAGGGTCTTCATCTTTTGGATGCAATAGGGTCAGTTGAAAAAAACCCTTGGGAACCACAAACCTGCAGGGATGAGGGCTGGGCCTTCTGCTCCCCTGCACCTTGGGCGGGAGTGGCCACCACATGACGTTCTCTTCTCACGCCCCAGAAGTGTGATTTGCTGTGCCCTGAGGGGTGAAGTAAGAAGGAAAATGTGACTTCACACTCAGCAAAGAACACAGGCAGAGGCAGATCAATGAGGGAGAGCATTGAAGAAGGGTTTTTTTAATGGACAAACAAAAAAACCAGCAATAACTGTGTCATAAATTAGTCATTTACCTTCCTCTATCTACCACTTTGCTCATTCTTGTTTCAGCCAAGAAGCCACCCGCCTGCCCTGTCTCCCGCCCCATTCTCTTTGTCTGGAGTGCTTTCAGTCCTAGACATCTTGTTCAAGGAGCCTGCTGTTTAAGCAGCAGCGGAAAGCAGAGCAGAATCCCTTCTGCAGACCTGTTAAGTCCCTCCGTTCCTCTGGAGAGCCCGGCCAGCAGGACACTTGCCCTGCTGGTTCTAGCTGAATGTGAGATCACTGTACTGTTGCACAAAACTTTCTATGAAATGCTTGCCTGGTTTGTACAAAATCGCTGGAGAGTCGGTGGTGTTTGCTAGAGAGCAATGCTCACAGCTCCAGTGCGTACTTCACCTGGGGGTGGGGGGCTGAAAACCATGGCATCTCTCAGACAATGTTTCTTAGTGTGCCCATCTCTCAGGCTACTGCTGGAAAGTACAACACACACACAAATAGCCACATGTAAATGGTATATAAATAATGATACCATTTCTTCCTGTTATGGATATGGAATAATAGCCTGATCTAGGGTACAGGTCCTTGAGTGCCAGGGTACACCCTTCAAGTCTCTTCTGTACCTCACCCCATGTTGGAACTGTGCCCAGGGAGGGGGCCTGAAAAACATAACGGTAATATTTTGTTATCTAATAGTTTATTACTGTGCTTAAGAACAATTCCTAACGACCATCTGTCTATGACATTTGAAGTTGTTACATTCTCAATTTTGGAAAAAAATAAAGATAAGGCCGAAATGTGAATTGATGAAAAATCCTAATAAAGTATCTTAGTATTGTTCAATAATTTAATACTTATAAATCATGAGGAGGGGTTCAAAAATTTCATGGAAAATTCAATTTTTTAATGTGTTTTAAAAAATTTTTATTAAATACTTTTATTGGGGCTCTTACAGCTCTCATCTCAATCCATACATTCATTCATCCATTGTGTCAAGCACATTTGTACATATGTTCCCATCATCATTTTCAAAGCATTTTGTTTCTACTTGAGCCCTTGATAATCAGCTCATTTTTCCTCCCCCTCCCCCACCTTCCGTCCCTCATAAGCCCTTGATAAATGATAAATTATTATTTTCACATCTTACATAGTTCACTCTCCCTTTACCCACTTTTCTGTTGTTCGTCCCCTGGGAGGGGGTTATATGTTGATCCTTGTGATCAACACCCCCCTTTCTCCACCCACCTTCTCCTTAGCCTCCTGGTATGTCCATTCTTTTTATTGGTCCAGAGTGGTTTATCTACCCTGGCTTCCCTTTGTTTCAGGCTTTTATCTGTAGCACTGTACATATTCTGGTCTAGTCAGATTTGTAAGGTTGAACTGAGGTCATGACAGTGGTGGGGAGGAAGCATTAAAGAACTAGAGGAAAGTTGTATGTTTAATCGGTGCTATACTGCACCCTGACTGGTTCGTCTCTTTCTTGTGACTCTTCTGTAAGGGGAGGTCCAATTGTCTACAGATGGGGTTTGGGTCTCCACTCTGTGTGCCCTCCCCCATTCACATTGGTATAATTTTGTTCTGGGTCTTAGATGCCTGATACCTGATCCCATTGACACCCCATGATCACACAGGCTTGTGTGCTTCTACCATGTGGGCTTAGTTCCTTCTCAGCTAGATTGTTTATCTTCAAGTCTTTACGACCCCAGATGCTATATCTTTTGATAACCAGGCACCATCAGCTTTCTTCACCACATTTGCTTGTGCACCCATTTTGTCTTCAGCGATTGTGTCAGGAAGGTAAGCATCACAGAATGCTGGATTATTAGAACAAAATGTTCTTGCATTGAGGGAGTACTTGAGTCAAGGCCCAATGTTCATCTACTACCTTAATACCTAACATATAAATATAAGTACATAGATCAATTTCCCTATCATTATATATAAATATATTTACATATGTGCATGCCTGTATTTAGACCTCCATTATCTTTTCATTCCATTTTTCTAAACACTTTTGTTAAACAATTAAAAAAATTATAAATTAGATGGGAGTTTACATTTCAGATCATCAACGTTGTATTTAAATAGTTTAAGCTAAGTATCAATATCCACCCCCTCCACACAATAGTTTACCCTCCTCCCTAGTCTTGATTTCTTTTCCCCCTCTTGTGAACTTTCCATTTCACCCAAGTTAACACCAACAGTCTAATCCATCACTTTATTTTCCCTCCCTTGGCAATCTCCAGAGTCCCTTTGGTTCTAGGAAGAACCTTGTTATTTAGCTAAGAAAATAAGATAAAGGAAAACATTTAACATTCACAATAGATTTAAAGTTCTAAGTTAGCTTATTTTCATTTATTATTCATTAGACACTCCAGGTATTCCATACCGTAACTAGTTGATCACAAATTACAAATGAGCAGTGTTAGTGGAAAGATTTGCCTTGACACCTCCCATGCGGGCCACCTAAATAAAGGCCTTGGGTCCCGAACATTCTCTGATTAAGAGATTAGGCATTGCTTAGCCTCCCCTCTCCCAGTTCCTTTCCCTAACAGTCAAGCCTTCCCTCTGTTGTGGGCAGAGTAATCTTTCATCTTGTGCTCATGTATTCCATCACATGGCATCTACCCAACTCCACCAACCTAATTTTATGTTTCTGGTGGGGAGAGAATGAAATCTGTCCAGTCTACTGCATGAGAATGGTCTGTATAGGGCATTTGCCCTGCACTAGCTGTATGGCAGTGGGTGGCCGGTGGGGAACATCCTGCTGACTATGGAAGTCAGTGCATACTAGTAAACCTAGTAGTATCCCAAATGCTCAGCTTCCTCTAGGGACAGAAGGAAAAGCCCAAGGGTAGCTTTCCACCCTTCCCATAGTGGTCCAGCCAGTCTGGCAGCAGTAGGAAGTGTAGCCAGGTATGGCTCCCTGGAAAATCCCAAGGAGGCAGAGGGTAAAGAGGTCAGAGGCCAACTCCAGGGATCAAAGCTTGGAGTCTGGGGTTGTGTTAGTCCCTTTGGACCGTGGCCTGGGAAACTCTGTCTCAGGAGGAAGAGTAGCTAGAAGTAGAAGAGGTGATTTTTCTGTACATCGGAATGTCTTTCCCAATATCCTCAATCCCCATCCCCACTTCAAAAGGATGGAGAATCATTATTTTCTCTTGGACTCTGACAATCCTATTTGGCTGAAATGGAGACCTGGATAGAAGCAAATTATCCACTCCCTGCTCTGATGGGGGGTTGGAGAAGTGGAAAGGTTTACTTGACTTCTGAAGCCTGCTTTGGGATCTCTTCAGTAACAGTTCTTTCCATCCAGAAAACCCTATTCCCCTCCTCATTCAGGGCTCTGCTCAAATGTTCCCTTCTTAGGAAGGCTCACTCTGAACATATCTAACTTTAACCTGAATTACCCAGCAAAAGTCACAGGAAATAGGTGCCCACTCCTTATGGAATGATTCAGCTCCGTTTCTAGGTCAGTGAAACCCAGAGCACAAGAGTGGCTACTTGTGCGGGAGCCCTTTCCCTCCACAACAGAGGTCAGGTCCAGTGCTTCAGATTCAGGCTGACTTGTTTGAAGAGCTGGTGGTAAGAGGAATGATAGCTCTCTCCCATGCCAAGTCTGATCAGGATCCAAGGACATTCTTTTCTGAGTTTTGACTTCACAAGGACTGTCCTATAGAATCTGGGAAGTGTGCAAGTGTATATGTAAGTTGTGAGAGAACATACCTAGAGTCACCTACCCCCTCTGTCCCTTGCATCAAGGGTAAAGCTGAAGGTCAAAGGGGCCAGGAGCATACCAGAACTGGGATGGCAGAAGGGACTATTTACCTTTACATGGTATATAGTCTTTGGTTTATTTTATTGTTATTATTTGCATCCTTCATAGGCCTAGCAAGGAGTTGGGCACACACACAGCACTCAATACTTTTTTAAATGTTAGGTTTCTATAGGTACAGTCAACTTATCCTTCATATCCTGAGCCACTGCATATAACAATGAACATGCTTTGGTTTATGGAACCAGGACGGCAGCCTGTGTAGGGGAACCAGAGATCGTGCTCTGCCAATACTACCTGTGTGATGTTGGACAGGGAACTTGTGGATGTCTGATCCTCTGCCTGGGAAAATTCAGAAAAGGAAAGCTTTAATAATGATTTCTATGATCAAGGGGGAAGGTTGGAATATTTATAAGTCTGAGAACTGTGGCTGAGTGTTTAAGATTTACTCCCCCCAGGGCAGCCCTAAGAGAAAATCCTGAACAAGGGGCGGGGCTCCTACCCGAATTCCCAAAAAGACATTCCCTAAACCCTTTTCAGAATTCCCCAGAGCCAGCAAGAATCATTCTTTGCATGGCTAGAGCAATGTGGGCCTTCTTCCAGTATTCCACTGCTGTACACCGTGACTACCTCCTAGACTCTAGGTCCTAGAGTAAGCAGGGGGCATTGGTTCCTCGTTTTAGAATTGGGAGCGTGGTACTTAGTGGGCCCTGAGGACTAGTCTCAGAATGAGACAGACACACCTGGGCAGGTCACGCTCCCAACCTCTGCAGCGCAGCCAATCCTGGCGCACTACATCAGGAGTTGTTAGGCCAACTTTCCTGGGGAAAACCACTTCTCACCTTAGGACCACCTCAGCCTTGGTCCAGGGCACCAGGTCACACAGAGGGCAAGCGTGGGGGGCAACAATAAGGTGGGGAGCAGGGATCGGGGAGCATCTCAAGAGGAGCTTGGTGCCACGGCCAGACCGCCGGGTGCCCTTTAATTTAGTCTAGCCTCTCAGGGCACCAGAGCTCCCGACCTCAGCGTCTTGGGGTTGCTGGGTAGCCTGGAAGGTCACCAGATGGAGGGGAGGAAGAGGAGGCCTGCAAGCCTGGAGACTAGGGAGGACAAGCAGAGGGCAAGTCCTGGGAGGGGGGAGGCTGCAGCCAGCTCAGCGGGCGTGCTTCCTCCAATAGCTCGCCGTGCCGAGTCTCGCGTCACTGGTTGCTGGGGCAGCGCTCCCGACCGAGGCAGACGCGAGCCTGGCGGGGGCGGAGGGAAGACCAGCGACGGTGGAGAACCGCTGCCCTACGCGCCCCCCGCCCCCCCGTCCCCGTCCCTCGCGCCGCCGGCGGCTGGCCGAGCTCGGCCCCTCACCGGTTGCCGGCTGACTCCTCAGACACCGCGCGGCTCCCACTCGGCAGACTCGCCGACCCCCGCGGGAGGAGGGCACCGGGGAGCCGGAGCAAGCGGCAGCAGAGCGGGGGGAGCCAGGGAGGAGGAGGCAGTCTCGGGATAGCGGGTCACGCTCCAGGTCTCCTCCTCTACGCCGTTGGCCAGTGGCGGGGCTCGCGCGGCGGCACGTCACTCACTGATTGCCAGGAGGACCGGGAGTCCATGCAAGGACCTACTTACTGCTCCGTCCAGCCAGCCAGGGCCAGAGTCCCCGGAGGAGGGGCGGGGCTGACGGGATGAGCCAGGGAAACTCGGGTCCCGCCTCCGTCCCACGTGAAGTCCCGCCCCTTCCCAGGATCCACCAATCCCTGCCTCCTCTCTCTTTGCCCGCCTTCCCGCCCCAGTCTGGTCTCGTCCAATCAGAGGAGAAGGCGCCTGCCAGTGGACGTCTTGAAACCTAGACCTGTCTTGTAACTGCACACTCCTGGATCAGTAGCCTTTTTTGGAAGCTGCTGGAGTATGCGCTCCCTGGCGGGACCAGTCTGTGGGTACCGCAGGCCAAAGCAGCCCATCAATACTTATTGAATATTAATGCAACTTAGTATGTACTATTTTGTTTTATGAGTCGGAATCGACTTGGTGGCAGTGAGTTTGATTTTTTGAATCCTGAACGCAGCTTTGCCAAGGGGCATTTTCTGAAATTGAAGCCTTGCACAGGCTGCTGGATAGTGCCTTTTGCCTCTTCAGGACGTGGTGACTGATCTCCTTGTTCAAATGTTGAAACTCCAGGGCTGCTTGAGTTCTTTTCCAGAAATTCATTCGGACTCTTGGGTTGTCCACCCATTACCACAATAAACTCTTTACTTTAAAAAAAAGTTTAATTGGTATATACTGTACATATCATACAATTTAATCGTTCAATCATATTAAGATTTGTGGAATCATCACCACAATCAACTTCGGAACATTTTCTTCTATACTCATCATGGCTGGCTCCCCATTTCTTCCCTAGGCAAGTATCAATCTAGTTCCTGTCTCTACAGATGTACCTATTCTGAATTTCATAGAAAACCATACAAAACTCAAACAGGAAGCAAGCAAGCAAACAAAAACTATGACAAAACAAAAACCTCAATCTAAAGCAAGGCAGAAAATAAAAACAATTTTAAAGAGAGATCACATAAGGTGTTACATTTTAATCTACTGTCGGCCATATTCACTTTACAATGCTCTCTGCCTTATAGCAAGGCTATTCACATCCCTGGACTATGTTCAGAGAGGATTCACTGGAAGCTTGATCCATCTAGGGACCCTGCAAATGGATTTGGGGCTTCTACTGTCATCCAAAGCCTTAAATTATGTTACCATTCCCTCCTTCAGACTTGGATTTTATTATTTACAATCCTTGCATACACAGACTGGTGTGCTTCTTCATTGTGGACTTAGCTGATGGTTCACTTAGATGGCTGCTTGTTTTAAGACAAGCTGTTAAGACCACACACACTATTCTTTCTGGCCAGGCACCATCTGCTTTCTTCAGCACACTTTGTTTGCTATAGCACCCATATCTTTAAAGATCTTTTCATGAGGGAGAACATCAAGCAGGGCTAGGTCATAAGAAGTAGTTGTTTTTAGAGTGGGGATAGATTTAAATGTAAGCCTCAAAGCCATTCATATACGTATGGTTTATGTATGTATCTGGTTCATGTTAGAGACATCCTTATCATTTTATGTTAGAGAACATTATAAACCATCCCCCTAAAGCATAAGGCAATTCTACTGATAGTGTTGTTTATTTAGCCAATTATAAAATTAGAGGCTAACTTCAGATCAAAATGCATGGATTTTTCACTCATGCATACTAAACTATTTTTTTAAACAAACACGTTTTATTGGGACACATTCCAAATATCATACAATTCACACATTAAACTCTTAAGTGACTGGACACTATTTCCACAAACAATGAGGCTTGGTGATAGGGAAAAACTTTCAATAGCACTCATTCACAAAGGCCGAACTATGTCTACCAGATTACTACAGCCTTGAACCAGGAAAGGATCAAGATGAGAAATGTGGAAAGAGGAAAAATTCCTTAAGTATTGTATACACAATACAAGAGACACAATACAGTATCTTTTTTGTAAATTAGGTATGCACAGATAAGGCTGTGTTTTGTTAAGAGGTGATGAGGATAATTCCAAAATCTTTCAATTTAGAGAAATGGCTCTAGTTAAGACATTTCTGAATACTTTGTTCAGAGCTCATTTTAAAAGGGCACTAACACACTTGGATATTTCTATTGGAGTGACTCTTGTTGCTGCTAGGTGTCATTTATTTGTACTCATAGTGACCCCATGAGGCAGAATAGAACTGCCACAAAAGCTTTTCAGGCTGTAATATTCCAGGTAGCCATACATTGGATTTCCCCCCCAAGCAGTCACTGGGTGAACCTGAACCACCAGCCTTTTTGTTAACAGCTGAGCACTTTATTGTGCCAGCAGGGTTCCTTGGGAAGTAAAAAACAAACAAACCAAACTCATGTTTGATTTGATTCCATCTCATAACAACTCCATAGGAAATCACAGGAGTGTCTCATGAGGTTCTAAGGCTATAACTTTTACAAAAACAGACTACCATATCTTTATGTCATGGAGCAGCTGGTGGGTTTGAACTGCTGACCTTCCGATTCGCCATCAATGTTTAACTACTGCACCACTAGGTCTCCTTGGAGTAGTAATTAGGATGGTGATAAATGAGTCATATTGAAGTGACAAGAATTCTTCAACTGGCAAAAAAGAAACCTGTAAATGTTGGCTGCACACATTTAAGAAGGCCGATTCTTATGGAGGGAAGAGCGATTAAGAACTGTAAGTGGCGTGAAAAGGACATCTGACCTCCTCTCCTCCCTTTTGACCATTTCTAACACCAGCCATCTGTCTTATGGCTATTTCTCTACGGGGTTCGATAATTTGTTGCAGTAACCACACAGAACTTACAGGCAATACTCACAATTAATGGGGTTTAATTAGGAAAGTAACATTAAAATTCAGAATCCAAAAGGGCTTGGGATACAGTTCATACATCATTAAATCCTCCTCTCGGCCATACCCACAGACAGGCCTCTTTCTGGCTTTCTGACCCTCGGGCTCCTTGGGTTGGCATGGCCTTGGCCCTGCTCAGGAAAGAATTACAAAGCTCGTTAGCTCTTCCCAGAAGCACCCCAACCTACCAGCAATCCTTGGCCCAAAGGGACTCAGCCCGCTGACTCCATGGACCAGGAAGCCCACACCATCTTCTGCTATGCTCCTGCTGCTGTATTCCTGCCACTGCTTCACATCATCTCTCACTATCTCTGGAGTTACAACTCTGTCTTGTGGGTTTAGGAGGTTCCAAGGTCAGAATGCTGGATCCAAAGGATAGGCTCTGTTTCCATCCTTTCTTCTTGGTGGTAGTCAAATCTCCGCTCTGGGAGTGACTGTCTTTTAAGTTTAGTCAATGGCAAAATTAACAAATCCCTCTGTTAGGGTTCCATACATCTTATTTGCATGCCCTCCCATACACATGCCACATCTTTGCATTATGAACAAGCTGTCAATTCCTGTGGTAGGACACAGCATCTCATTCACATAGTCCCACCCAATCATTTGGTGGGCACTGTAAAATCATAACCAGAAAGGCCACAATAATGGATCCTCACATCATGAAAGAAAATACAGGGAGAATTTTTTACTTGTTTTGACAGAGGAAAAATTTGTCTTATGGAATCATCCCAACTGGGGATAATTGGAATAGAAATACTCTGTAGTGAGAGAAGCTTAGGTCATGGAAGAAAGTATGTGGATATTTATCATAAATATGCCATAGATATTAAAAATAATAGACCCAAATGGTTCTCCTTTCTGTACAAATTTGATATTGTCAAGATATTTACACTAACCAAAGATTCAACATAAACTCAATCAAAAGCCCAACAGCCTTCTTCACAGAAATGGAAAACCAATGTTCAAGTTTTTTTGAATGGTAAGAGGCCTTGCATAGTTTTAAGAATGTTGAAAAGTAAAACATCTTTGCAATTTTAAAAAGAATTACATTTTCTGATTTTAAAACACACTATACATATACAATAATTAAAGCATCCTGACAATGGCATAATAATAAACATATAGATGATTTGGGAATCCAAAAATAAACCTCCTTATCAATAGTCAGCTGATTTTTTAATACAAGGGTACTAAGTCACTTGGTGAGAAAAGAAGAGTCTCTTAAATAAATGGTGCTGGGGTACAACTGGGGAGCAAGGGGAGCAAAGTAACGAAGTCCCCAAGGAACCCTGAAAATAGACTTCCGACTTGGCACCTCAACAGACTGATTAGACAACACATATTAAGGTCTGCACACAGACCTGGAACTATCGTTTTGTTTTTTCTTCTCTTGCTCTGTTTTGTTTATTATATTTTGTTTTTCCTTTCTTTTTTTTTCTTTCACCCTATGTCTATCTACATAAGCTAGGCAGGAGGAACAATCCTGAGGATTGCCAAGAAATTTTGAAGACAGGTACATGTCAACTGACTAGAAGAGATCCATATTTGTGTGTATTCAAAAGAAAGGTAATCCGATAGAAATGCAGAAATTATAGAAAAATATTAATACCCCATGCAAGTACAATTCATCAAGGGTTGCAGCAGTACATTAATAGGGAGCTGCCAAAAATTCAAGCTGCATTCAGAAGAGGATGTCAAACAAGGGACAGCATTACTGATATCAGATGGCTTTTGGCTGGAAACAGGGAATACCAGAAAGATATCCACATGGCTTTTTGACCATGCAAAGGCATTAGACTGCTTGGATCATAGAAAACTATGGATATCCTGGAGAATAATGGGAATCCCAGAACACTTCATTGTGCTAATGTGTATGTGGATCCTGTACATGGATCAAGGTTATTATATAAACAGTATAAGAGAATACTGCACAGCTTAAGATCAAGTAAGGTTTATGTCAAGATTGTATCCTCTCAATCTGTTTGCTGAGCAAATAATCAGAGAAGCTGGACTAATTGTGGCATCAAAACTGGAGGAAGAATTATTAACAACCTTTGATGCACAGATGAAACAACCTGGCTTGCTCAAAGAGAAGGACTTGAAGCACTTGCTGATGCAGATTAAGGATTATAGTCTTCCATATGGATTACAACTCAATGTAAAGAAAGCAGAAGTCCTCATACCTGGACCAATAAGTAACATCACAGTATACAGAAAAGTTTGAAGTTGTCAAGGATTTCATCTTGCTGTATCCACAATCAATGCTTAGTAATAAAAAAAATAAAAGGACGCATTGCATTGGGTAAATCTGCACAAAACCACTTTAAAGTATTGAAGAGCAAGGCTATTACTTTGAGGACTAAAGTATGCCTGACTTAAGCTGTGGTTTCTTAAAAAGATCATTTTATTGGGGGTTCATGCAGTTATCACAATCCATCCATCCATTGTGTCAAGCACATTTGTACATGTTGCCATCATCATTCTCAAAACATTTGCTTTCTAAAGCTGTGGTATTTTACATTTCCTTACATGCATGTGAAAGATGGACATTAAGTAAGACTCAAGAATTGATGCATTTGAATTATGGCAGTGAGGAATATTTAATGTACCATGGGCTGCCAGAACAAAGAAGTCTGTCTTGGAAGAGGTTCGACCAGAACGCTTCTTAGAAACAATGATGGTAAGGCTTGGTCTCACTGATTTGGAGTTGACTTGATGGCAGTGGAGGTTAAACAGGCTCAGAGCTTTACCTATTTTTTACCTCTTCCTCCCCACAAACAGTATATAAGCCTATCAGAAATACTGTTAGGGGATAATATATTCTATATGATTAAGTAATATTCAGTCTCAGGTCAGTGGAGACATTATAGTCTTGGCATCTTATGTATTCATGTTTTTTCCTCACCAGATCCATGTGTGGAAATATAGGCTATAACTCAGAGTTTATGACCACTGACGAACAAGAAAATGGAGGTACACTACCTTTATAAGAATGGTAGGTGTTACCTGGTAGTGCCAAGGAGGAAATGCTGGAGAATTCAGGCTTGGGTAAACAGAAGATGGTGAGTATAGCAGGTCATTATTGTGAAGTTTTAGTTCTCCCAAACAAGTGACTAGTACAGATCAAATAAATTATGTTCATGACTTCTTTATATAACTTTTATAGTTTTTGTATGGCATCTTATTAGTAAAATGAATGTACTAAAAATTAAGGTCTTATTACTCATCCACACGTCCTTAAGATGGGACGACAAAGGGCCCTGCTGGCTCACTAGAGCGAGAAAAGTTAGTTCTGGAATTTGAAAAAATACAATCGAGTTTTATGGAGAAGTACCTCTTAAGAAGCAATGTATTTGGTTTCTATTCCTTAATTTCATAGCGACCTTAATGGACAGAGAACTGTCCCTGTGGGTTTCTGAGATGGCGGCAACTCTTCATGGAGTGTAAAAAGCCTCATCTTCCTCCTTCTTGAGTTGGTGGTGCTTTAAACCGGTGTTTAGCTGCCTAACGCGGAACCCAAAAAAACCACCCGGGATCCAATGAGTTGGAATCAACTCGGTGGCCCTGTTTTGCCTCCTTAACTAAAAAGCAGCAATTACATGTGGGGTCATGGGATAGAGGGTCAGGATCCAAAGTAAGGATTCATTTCCTTTGCCCGTTCGACCTTCAGGGCAAACCTTGAGTTGGCGATGGGAAGCTAGGGCTTTAGTAAAAATAAAACCTACAACTCTGAAATCTTTGACTGGTCCTTGCGGGTGACATGAAGAAATGGCGACCCAGTCCTATGCCCAAGTCAGGTAATGATACATAGGCCATGCAACAAACAGAAACTCCTCGTCTTCAAGCACGGCCTAAGGTGATCAGACGTCCCGATTTTTAACAATTTTTCCCGCGTCCCGCGGCGTTTTAAAAAAGTCCCGATTTTTGGAAAGAATGCACAAGCTAAGGTGTATACTGTTTTCGACTGCCATGTGGTTATTCCGCCAGGATATGAGTTTTATCAATGGTGTCCCGCTTTACCAATGTTAAAATCTGGTCACCTTAACCAAGTTTCCAATTAAGAGTGTGATTAGTGACGCCGGCGAAACGACTCGGAGTTCGCGCGCCCTGGGCTCGGGGAGAGGCAGTGGCCTTCGCCGAGACGGGGAGGATCGCGCAGGCCTCCAGGGAATGTGACCCTTCAGAGCTGACGACGAGTCCTGCCAGTCCCAGGAGGTGTGCTGCCCACTTCGTTAGGAGGAAAAGTGCTTTCTGGAAGACGGCCTCGCGTGCCAACACCGGAGGGCAGTTAGTCCCTCCCGGCTCCCGCGCGACCCGCGCCAAGGCGCGGTCTCCGGCGGGGCCGGAAGTTACGTGCGCGCGGGCGGAGCTCCGTAAACAAGATGGCCGCATCCTACGGGCTCTCATTCCCTCGGTTTTATGTCTAGCACCTTCATACTCGCCAGCAGAGACTCTCAACGCCATATATTCCTCTAGGTTTTCATTAAAACGGGCTCAAGAAAAACATTCCTCCTAGGCTTGCTGGGGAATGGAATCCGGGCCGCAGAGGTACCCCCGAACCTCGTAGGGCGCCATTCTGTACGGAAACCGCAGGTGGGGATGTTAAGGAGTCCGTACGAGGCTCGGCTTTCCCGTCGGGAGTAGCCGGGAGGGGCGATGGGACCGGAGGAGGCTGGTAAACACTGACGTATTTCCGCTTCCGCTTACCCGGCGCATTTGATTGGATCAGCTTGTTGCGGGGAGGGAGGGAGAAGATTGTTTGCAGCCGAAGAGCTCAGCTCACGGGAAGGTAAACTGAGATAAAGCTGTTAAGGGTGGCTTTTGCACCGGAATGTGTAGGCTGCATGGGGGCTGGGTCTCTTGGAGTTGCGTGAGACTTGGAGACCGGACAGTGAGGCTGTCGGGCCCCTTGGACAGAGACGAAGGACTGGGGCGGGGCAGGGGGTTCCAAGGTGAATTGCAAAGGGGGGCGAGGAGGCAGTGGAGTGGGCGCAGGGGAAGCGGGGTGGAAAGAGCCCGGGAGCTCGACGGCAAGTCCTGAAGGCTTTGGAGGGGGAGGAACTGGAGTAGGGGGAAGAGCTGGACGTAAAGTTCTGGAGGGATGGGGCAAGAATTGAGATGGGACGGTTCTGAATACGGAGGTGTGGACGGAGAGCTGGGCCCCTAAATGGCCGAGAGGCTAGAAGGAGCCGGTGCCTAGATGCAGATGCTGGCATGACCATATCCTTGGCCTTTGTTCCCCTACAGCTCCCTAGAGACGGTCATCTATCTGCCTCTGCCCGGGCCTAGCCTTCCTTCATTCTACAGCTGCCACGACAGCCTGGAGGCGCCTGCCTCCGCACTCCCGAATGGTGCTCCTCCTTGTAGACCTCGGCCCGAGATCCAGACCCCCTTTGCCCTCTGCGGTGGAGCCTTTGCTCCGGATCTCCCCCGGTGGACTCCCCATCACGGCAAGGGAAGGACTTTTGCCCAGACTACTCCATCTCTCTAGGATCTCCACTGACAGTTTGAATCTCAGCCTCTACGTGTGAGGCCCACCCGCGTTTTCTGACTTAACAAGCGACACCTCCCTTGCTGCCCAGAGCCCAAGAAGCCCCACACTGGGGCCCTCGTCCCAGCATGCCAGTCCTTTCTTGTGCATAGGGCTCTGCCCTCTCCCTGTCAACATGGCTGAGTGTAGGCAGGTTCCAGGTCGACGGGCGACTCCTCAGGGGGAGCTAAGGCCTGAGGTGGTTGAGGATGAAGTCCCTAGAAATCCAGTTGCGGAGGAACCTGGAGGAGGCGGAAGCACCAGCAGTGAGACCAAATTGTCCCCAAGAGAGGAGGAAGAACTGGATCCTAGAATACAGGTGAGGAGACTGAGCTAGGGGAAGAGACAGGGAGCCCAGAATCCAACCTTCATAAGAGCTGTCACATGAATGAGGGCTTAGAATTATATATCCCCTCCTGGGATGTTAGAACAGAAAAGAAAAAAACAAGTTGTCAACAAATCATTGCATGTAATGTGACAAGTAGCAAAAGAGTTAGATGGCTAGAGTGTTGGGTGAGTGCCCAGGGTATACTGCTGAAGGCCACCCTAGAGATTCAAAGGAACACATTAGCATCACATCCACCCAGGTGCATTTGGGTCAGGAGGGAATAAGTGTCCACTTTGGAAGTGCTGTTCTCCTTTCCATGTAATGAGAGGGGCCTGTTAACTCAGAGAGTGCTGTGTGAGTGGAATGTGAGCGAATGAATGAGCCCTGCAAGGGCTCTGGATGCTGAGCGATCAGATCTTTCTCCTTTTCCTTTCTTCTTATCTTTTTCCTTACTTCTCATCAGTGCCTCCCAAGGACTTTCACACAGGAGGAGACCTTTCAGGTCACAATTCTATCAAATTTTGGTCTATTAGGAAATCCCATGTGTTCAAGAGATTGTATCAATCGTAGTCTTTGACACCACCCTTTGCTCTCAAGATGCTGGGTGGGTATACCAAAGGAATGGAAGAACTGGTTTACCATCCGGGAGTGTTTACAGTCTGGTTGGGTGGGACAGGCTGATCTTTGCAAAGGGAACGCAGGCACTGTGGTGAGAAGGAGGTGCAGAATCCGGAGAAAGTGCACGGCTGGGGTGCAGTGTCTTGGGGCCTTGTCCTGGAAGGTCTCCATGGGAAAGTTGGTTGGGCACGTGTGGGCCAGGCTGCTCCAGAGTGTTTGGGGTCTGAGTCTGCCGTTTGGTCCGGTAGTAGCTCCAAGCTTTTAATGTGGAAGTGACTCATTCTTCTGTGTAGCTGAGAAAGTGCCTTTTAGATTGTGGATGCTTGCGTTTCTGTGTCATCAAACCTTTACTGGATTGCTCCAGCAAGTGGAGCATAAAGTAAAGCTGGTCCTGGCATTATCCCTGCCCTTTTGGTGGGTTTTCTCCGATGTGTGTGTGCCAGTGCCTCTTGAACTATCCCTGCACTTATAATGGAGCTATGTCAATCCTTTTCTTTCTGGCATGAGTCAGATTTATTTCTGCCGAGCCTCAAGGGGATTGCATTGAGAGCAACTACATTTTTCCTGCTAATTCTACAGATTTGTCATCCACTGAGAAAACAAGTTGTACTGAGAACAGCTCCATGGTTTGTGATTTGTAAAGCCTGTTTCCGCATCAGGATTAGAGCTAAGCTGATTCGCATGACCGCTTCCAGCTGTGCACTGGCTAGAATCCTAAAGTTCCTTCCTTTCAGGAAATCTATTGCGCCATCTTGGGTGAAAGTGTGTAGGTAGCACTTAGGAAGGAGACCCCCATTGAGTCCCTGGGGAAGAGGACCTTGCAACTTACTTCCTGCTCCTCCCAACAATATTCTTTGCCCTGGTCCAGAGGAAAGAATCCTTAGCAGTGTCTTTGCTCAGCCTCTCCTGCTCTTAGTGCTTCTCCAGGGCTCCGCTGCTGCAGGCAATAGTGTTAATAGTCACTCTGGTGCTGCACTGCCCATTAAGGTAGCGATTATCCGCATAAAACTTAAGACCAAACCCACCACCATTGAGTTGATTCTGAGCCCCGGTAAGACAGGGTAGAACTGCCCTGTGATTTCTTGAGACTCTAACTCTTTATGGGAGTAGAAAGCGTCATCTTTCTCCCCCAGATTGGCTGGTGATTTTGAATGGCTGATCTTGTGGTTAGCAGTCTAACATGTAGCCCTGCCTCTAGGGTTCCTTTTTTATCCGCATGTGGCTACTTCAATTTAAAAAAAAAACTTTAAGTGAAATGAGGTACAAAATGCAGGTGTTGTATCAGCACCATGTTGTATCAGCAGTGCAGAAAATTGAGCAGTTTTATTATCACAGAGCGTTCTCTTGGCCTGCCTCACATGTAATGACATGGTGGCGAGGCCAGAGGTCTTGCCTCAGCAGGAATTTAGCAGCCATCTTGCAGTGGTTATCTTCCTTTTCCCCATATGGGAGAGGGAGCCTAGTGTGAGGAGATGTCTCCATGGAGGTGGCCAGATGGCAGTTCGCACTTCTGCTTTGGACCCCTGTTCTGCCTAAGAATACTATTGGTTTGTATGCCTTTTTTGAGTGTTGACGTACGTACCCAAGACCATGTTGCCTTGAATGTGTTTCATTATTTTGAATTTGTGTTCATTTTCATGTTTTTCAATGCATGTAGTCGATCTTCACCGATAGATTGATCTGACTTTCCCAGGAAGCTCTAGAAGCATTCATTCCAAAGCAGTTTCCAGACACATGGATTCTCCTGGTCTGGGTAGGAGGTAAAGTGATGGTAACTTGCAGCCAGCTCTGAGTCCACCTGACCAGGAATATTTCAGTGACCCAGACCCTGCTCTAGGTTTTCCTGGAGCTCCCAGAAGAGGTTGCCCTTAAGATTCCACTCTGGGAAGTGGGAATGCAGTTCATCAGGCCCCTCTGCCCACATTGCATGTGAGATACCTTTGGAAGCTTACGGAAGCAAGCTGGCAGAAGATCTACAGTGGGCTGTCCATCTAGGAAGGCCTCTAACTGCACCTGGTGTCGTGAGTTGGATCATAGTTTCTGAGAGGGTCTCAGAGGAGAGAAAGAGCATCTGTCTTGTCACTCGGTTGCTTTTTCTCTTAGACATTTTAATACCCTCAGCTTATTGTCAAGTCTTACCTGCAGCTTCTATGTGCTTATCCAGAAGGGTAGGGTTGACACCAGTGGGCCACCGAATTTCCTTTATTTATAAGTCCTTGGGCTCCGTACCACCCTTCTCCCTCTTCTGACAATCCGTTTGAATCCTTTGATTTTCTTTACTAGGTGGGGCAAGAGCATTTATAGCCTAAGTGGCCAAGCATTTGGCTCAGTGGACTGGCATCCTGGGAATGTGCCCAGGGTGTTCTGGGAAGGTCACCCTTCTTGGCTTACTTCTTTGCTTACTGATGGATGATGTGTGCTGACTCCAAATTCCATTTTGCTTAGTGACAGGAGGAGCTAGCCAAATGGAATGTATGCGCCCAGCATTGCCCTGGGTCTTCTCCAGCCTGCCCATCTCTGCCCTGCCACCCCTGCTGGCCCACTCTTCATCTCCCCTCTGGTTGTTTTCTTAGAAAGAGTTTTGTGGCTCTGGGGGCAGACGTACTAGCCTTCCTGGAAGTTGATTTTTTTCACTATCAAAAGGCTCTTTAATTGCATTGAGGTGGACTAGGATTTTGAGTCCCATATAGAAAGACAATGGCTGCCCTGACCCTTGGCCAATAGCAAACTTAACAAAAGGGCCATTGAGTCCATTCTGACTCACAGTGACCCTGTGGAGAGTGCACCTGTCCCTGTGGCCTTCTCAGGCTATGCATCCTTATGGGAACAGAACGGCTCATCTTACTCCCGCAGAGTGACTTGTGGATTTGAACTGCTGACCTTGTAGTTAGCAGTCCAACTTGTAACTCACTAACCGTTGGGCTCCTTGCCAATAGCAAAAGCACTGTAAATCATGTTTCTTCTGTGGGGATGGCTTATGCTTGACCATTCATTTCTTTGATGAATTTGTCAGCATCAGGAGCGTGGAAATGAGCAGTTTGTATTGTCAGGAGTGGGGATCCAGGCGTGGACCTTGGTTTGCCCATATGAACATCCTAGGGTGCTTCTCCCTAGGATTGTTGGGTTGAGGGGGTTCCCAACACTTGAACGGGTCCTTAGGAGCGACTTTGTGATTGTGGAAAATATTAAAGACAGACAGACAGTGGGGCACACGGGCTCCTTGTCCCATGTCAGGACTGAGAGAGGATGTATTTTCCAATGGGTATAGATAATGGGGCTTACAGATCTTTCATAAGGCATGCCTGCCATACAGCTAACATCAGACATAATCAATAGGTAATATAAACAGGTAACATAAACAAGCAATAAGATGCGTCAGTGTCTTGACCCTGTGTTAGTTGACCTCAACCCCCCTGAGCCCTCGCCAGGGGGAGTAATCTCTGATCAGTATCAGCAAGAGATGTCAAAACAGAGTTTGCTGCATTTTGTGCTGGGTTGGCTATAGAAGCTGAGTGCTTCTAGTTACAGATAAGCTTTAGGCATTGTGAAGTCGCCAGACACAGAAATGATTCATTTTGTATGGTAGCTCTTTTTTGACAGTTCTTTTATGGGGGGTTATTGGAGGGACTGTGTCCAATAATGAGAATGTATATTAAGATTGATTTATATCATAACTGTGAGAGTCTTCCCCCACCAGAGTCGGTGTTCCAGACCCGTAATTATGAGCATGGATGATTTAGCTGGATCACGTCCTCATCCAGTCCCTCAGTTTACCACATAGGGTGTGCATACAGGGTCCCTCTGTTGGCTGGCTTCTCTTCCTCTGACCTCATCAGTGTTTATTGCATTCCTGAGCTGATCGCTTTTCTACCAGGGTTGTAGTTCTCTCTCTTTTTTATAGTTCTCTCTTTTAAAAATAATTTTATTGAGGGCTCTTAAAGCTCTTATCACTATCCATACATCATTGTGTCAAGCACATTTGTATACATGTTGACATCATCATTTTCAAAATATTTTCTTTCTGCTTGAGCCCTTGGTATCAGCTCCCCCCCCATGAACCCCTTGATAATTTATAAATTATTGTTATTTTTTCATGTCTTATACTGAGCTGTTTCCCTTCATCCACTTTTTTGTTGTCCGTCCCCCTACGAGCGGGTTATACGTAGATCATTGTGATCGGTTTCCCCTTTCTCCCCCCTCCTTTCCCTTCGCCTCCTGGTATCACTTCTCCAATGATTGGTCCTGAGGTGTTTATCTGTACTGAATTCCCTGTGTTTCCAGCTCTTATCTGTACCAGTGTACATGCTCCGGTCTAGCTGGATTTTTAAGGTAGAATTGGGATCATGATAGTGAGGGAGGAAGGAAGCATTAAAGAACTAGAGGAAAGTTGTATGTTTCATTGGTGCTATACTGCACCCTGACTGGCTTGTCTCTTCCTTGTGACCCTTCTGTAAGGGGATGTCCAATTGTTACAGATGGGCTTGGGGTCTCATAGATATGTTTTTTTGTTCTGGGTCTTTGATGCCTGATCCCCGATCCCATCATGATTCCATACCTGACACCTCATGATCATACAGGCTGGGGTGCTTCTTCCATCTGGGCTTTGTTGCTTCTCAGCTAGATGGTCGCTTGTTTATCTTCAAACCTTTAAGACCCCAGTCGCTATATCTTTTGAGAGCCCGGCACCATCAGTTTTCACTACATTTGCTGTGCAACTACGTGACCGCCAACAAGCGAAAGACCCAAGGCGAGCATCACAGACAGAATGTGTAGTTCTCTTAAGTGACATCACTCCTTGTCCACCCAGGGCTAACCTGAGTCCTCAGAGCCCAATAGTAGCACAATGGCAGAAAATTGGGATCTGAGGTCCTAACTCGACCCAATTAAAGCTACCAATGACCTGTCTGGCCTTGGGCGATTCACCCATTGTTTTTCCTCTCTGAGATGCAAATAGGTCGAGGAAGAGCATCTTCTGGAGGGTCTGCTGAGGGGACAGAGTTACTTCCTCTCCTTGGTAGTCTGAAACACCTTTTGGGTCAAGGTAAACCACAGGACACTGCACATTGGCTTGGAAACCAGTACCTCTCATCCTGCCTAAGGAATTACCTTTTCTGAATTACCTGTGGAGTGATCTATCCACTGATAGTGATGGTCCTGCTTAAGAATGGTCTGAAATTCAAGTTGTGTCCCTCCGCGTGGAGTTGGTGCTGCGACCTGGGCACCTCTACGCTTTTCTGAGCTTTGTGGGCTTTTTTGAGTCCAGAGTGGTTGTGCCATGTTTGACAAGTGGGCCTGTTTTTGTTTGAGTGGACTCTGGGTTGTGTGATGTATCAGTCTGCCAGGACACAGCAACTACTAGACCAGTACGGTCAAGTAGGAGAGTCGCGTGCCACATGTGGCTGCTATGCGCATGACACATGGCTGGTTCAGGATGCACTTTGCTGTAAATATAAATATACACTGGGTCTCAGATTTAGTTTAAACAAAGGTAGAAGGTGTGGATAATTTTTCCTGTTGATTGCAGCTTGAAATAATAATTTGATTGTATTGGCTTAGATGAAACATATTACAATATGTACCGTTGATTTAAGTGTGGTTACTAGAAGAAAAAAATGTACATTTCACCTATCACTTGCATTGCATTTCTCTTGGACAGTTTTGTTCAGAGAAGCCCAGAGCCAGATTGTGGCTGTCCTGCAGCAGGGTCCGTCTTATGGCATGCACAGTGGGTGTACCTTTTATCTTTCCACCTCTGTGTGTTCTTCCACCGTGATTAATGCCCATCATGTGTTTTCCCATGATCTTACCTGCTGACTGGAATCTTTCTTGCACTATGGAGAGGTATAGAAATAGAACGATTAGTGGGGAATTATGCATCTTAGTCTGACCATCTCACCAGACAGTTGAAAGTGCCTATTGAGGTTGTTTTTGTTGTAGCCTACTGTCCGTTCCCAGAAAGAAAACAACCCAGACTGCCAACAAGTTCAAAAGAAAAAGTTTTATTACCTGCGCAGGGACTGTCAGCCCTCTTGAGAGGAGACTGAGCGGTGGCCTGTCTAATTTTCCAAAGGTTTTTATACTTTTGCAACGTGTAGGCATGCAAGCAAGCAGAGTACAGAAGCAGCATATTGCGATTAGCCGTTCGTAGTTGAACAATCACTGCTCTTAGTTCTTCCAAGCCTTCTGAACATACATTTCCTTCGGTACAGTCCGTTCGCTTGTCAGCACAGCCTGCCTCCCTAATATCAGCTAGTTTATTTATAGTTTATAGCTTGTTCATTTATAGTTCATAATGGCTTCTGTCAGCTTAAAATGGCTTCACTCGTGTCAGGGCTGTTTAGGTTTTTCCTGGAGCTATACATTTTCAATATCATCAGCCACATGTATGAGATACCACTTGTCTGAGGAAGGAGCGCAGGTCCTCTCTAGGCAGCAGTCAGTCTGAAGACCCTGTGGGCTCAAGGAGGTGGAGGTCACTACTGAGTCCCAGGCCTTTTTTCCAGGTAGGGCCCTGGGCAAAGAGCAGCTCTGCTTCCAAGGAGCTTGGCTGTGGGGGAA